GCTCTAATTATAATAATATCATAATCTTCAATTAAAAATGGATTTATGGATATTCAATCACTTAATAAAATTTAGAAAAAGATAATGAATAACACTATATGGACATAATTTTTGGTTTGATTGAATATACATTAACATATGTTTCTTATATGATCTCCTCTTTTGAATGATGATGTTATTCATGAGCATATACACCCACGAGAAACGCTATTAATAAGAAGTTGACAATAATGTTGATGATTATGACACTCTCAACCGTGACTTTGATGAATGTGGATGTTTGTGGAAGCAATAAACTAAATATGAAACCAAGGATCTTTATACCTTTATGTATTTTTATCAATAAATAACCAGTTTTATTGAGGCAAAATATAAACACCGGTAGGAATTTACTATATCATCATAGGGTGGGATGAGGCTACGTTTGTGCCTTACAAATTACATTTTCATACATAAGGTGTATTTATTCTTTTAAGTAGATCTGTATTCTCGGTACGTTGGAGGTTAGTAGTTAGTAGACAAAGGAAATCGAATTTGTGTACAGTGTTGTGAATTAAATAGACATAGAACCTGAAAGATGAGAGTTATTTGTTTTTTGTGGGAACTTAGGAGGCGGTGTTCGTATGAGTGTTTTATTTAAGTGTTGAGTGCCATAGCACGTTAACGTTTAGTTGATGGTACCTATATGCTAGTAATGTGTGCGACGTAAGGGATCGATGAGTGGGAAGAGGATTATCTTTATCTCATACGTGTTCTTTTATATTAAAGTTTTTATATCAATAAATTGAACAAATATTATATTCGATAGGTAGGATTCTGTTCATCTCTATAAATCTATATGATTGTTTGTGAGAACAATATCTAACGATAAATTAAACATAATTAGCCATAAACTTTGATCATACATATATAAACTTCATTAAATATTACAGGTGAAAATGTCAGATATTTAATATTAATTTAAAGTAGTTGCATGATTTTATATTGAATCTGATTTTATTAGTCATATTATTATATTTAGATGATTATTAATGTGTGTGTTAAAATTGAAAATCTCTTGTAATACTATCATTTTAATTTTGTAAGATCCCCACAAGCAGTTTCATTTTTTACTAAGTGAGAGGGATCTTACTCATATAATTCCTTTTCGTCATGTTAGATATTAATGTATAGTGTTAACAGTTATTTTAACCATTCCTATTAGATAAAATTAGATTTATGTTAACGACCTTTAGTGTATTGCATTTAATGTGAATATTTTATGTAATGGACAAAGCTCTTGCGTGTGTGTGTTTATATTCTAGAGACTAAATTGTACTCATAATCTTCTTTTCATATATTAGACATTAAATTCACCGCTCTGTTAACATAGTAATGGACTTATTAATTATTTATTTGCTCATCATCTCTATTTCATATCGATTTTTCTTTGAAAGCCGTGTTTGCCTTTTGATCTAATTACCATTTAGTCGTACCTTTTACCTAGTTAATCGATTTATATTAAGTGATGTCCGCTGCTATATTTCACAGATTAAATTTCGATAGAATTCATTCGCGTTATCGATAATTTTCAATTGATTAGGCCCTAGAATATTCATGAGCTTTGGGTGAAATCTTTAAATTCTAATTATTCCTCACTTGTTATTTCAAAATTATAATATAAGGTATTATACTACTTTCTAAATTTTAAAGTCATTTTTATGTATTCTATCTTCAACGGCCATCCTTTCCAATTGAACCGCACTCACCGGGTCGTGCCTGTCCCACCTAAGTAAAGCCAGGTGTTCAGTGGTTCTGTCCCATTAACTGTCGTAACTTGCATTTTTAGCGATTCCTTTGCAACCCGTTGAATTGATTCAATCACCTCACGTATTAATTTCGGAAATTTGGCTCTGTAGCTACAATAATCATGTTGTTATTAAAAGCATTTGCTACGTATCAGACTGTAGCAGCCTCAAATAATTAGCAGCATCAAAGTTGCAGTATATTTACATGCAATTTATTTAGCTTTGAAACTGTTTCGAAGGTTTGTGTATAAAACTATGTAGTGGATAAATTTGGAGGGAAGTTTAACATATCTAACATTTAAAATATTTAAATTTATAAATTGAACACTTAAATTTATTACTATTATTGTGATATGATTTTTTTGTTTTAGCTTTCGTTTGATTAACGGCTTTCATACTCTTCTAAGCAGTCTAGATAAAAAAATTATTTTACTAAAAAAAAAAACTCTTAAAAAGCAATAAACATCTCAACAAAGCTTAGTGTCACGATAGAGAATCGCTGGAAATCTGCATTACAATCTGTCGATGTTTCTTGCATCATAGACCATTAGGGGCAACCAAGTCAGCCGAAATCGCAAGCCGCTCGGCCTGACTTGGTACGCTCTGACGAGTGACTTATCGGTATTGGTGAGTCGAGCTAAACCGATTTGAGTTCTAAGGCTTAAATAACTCGAGCACAGATAGGCCCCAGACTCGATATCCAGGTCGTACACTCGACGTGGAGTCATGGCAGAAAATCAAAAATGACGGAGCTCTACGGTGGAAATCTAAATCGACAGTTAGCTCGACTCTAGATACTGATGGTAGATAAACTCTAAGACAATGAGGGAGATCACGAGTTGGGAACCGACGAAGAAGATTTGGACGACACGTCGTTATTTTTTACTACGAGCTCAGGATCCCGGACACTTGCAAGAATTTTGGGAAAGACACGGGAAATTTTGAGATAGTCCGTCTTTTCGATACATAGCTCGGTCCTTGGGATGAGCGTGGAGTTGGGAAGACCAGACGCGATGGATAAGTTGGGACAAAGATATCGACGAACGAAGGTGGGGAAATGGCGCGAAAGAGGGCAGAGTTTCACAGCGAGCTCAAGACTGGCTGACGGGCCGCTCAAATGAAGACAAGCAGAGCTCGAGCTGTGTTAGATATAAGCCTCGACTCAAAACCCTGCTCGAGTCGCTCAACCGATGCACCGTAAGACCATCAATATCTACCAGCAGCTATGCAGAAGACAAGATGAGAATAGAGAAAAGCGTGCAAGTAGACAGTTTATGTGACGGAACAGAATCGCAGGCGAAAGCAATGAAACTAGCAAGGATAGTATTTTTAGTTTATTGAGAAGTTTTTAATTAATTTATGAAAATAAGGTGTTTAGGCTCAATATATGCTGTAATCTTATATTATGAGAACTTAAAAAGTAGCCACTTTACATAATGATTAATCCTAAAATATGTCTATAAGTTAGATAGAAATAGTTAATAAAGATAAATTAGATAATGTTCTATAAGGAAAGTAGTATTAAAAATATAATCAGCATAGAAATAAACAAAAAAAAAATTTAAATAAAGGAGGGGCTCGGTCAATGTCAAGTTGCAGATCTGGCGGAGAAGGGCCCTCGCTCAAGCCTATAGTCGATAAGGGTTCTATTGGTGGTGGGCGGTATCTAATGAAAGCGCGACTTAATTTTCATCAAAATAAATTTTATAACTATATATTTATTTTAAATGAATGTACAATATAAAAATGAAGAAAATTAAATTATATTCAATTCGAAAAAATATAAGAAATGCACACAACCACATCGCTGTTATGTAGATAAGATTGCAAAAAGATATCATATAGAGTTTATAAGACTAACAAGAAAAAAAAGAACTAAGCAGCAGATTTTTTTTTTTTTTAGATAGAAGGAAAAATAAAACTGCTTCTTACTAAGTTGGTATGACTTTGTTAACAATGCCTGTAAATCACATTTAGAAAGGGAAAGAACTTGAAAAGCAAATTCATAGCCCAAAAGGGGAGATTATATTACAGTACGCAAATGAACAGTAGGTACAGAGTTTTATTGTGTCTCCAAATAATTAAATGTCATAACTATTTTGACTATTATGATATATAATATTGCGACACCATTTTCTAATGCGTTACTTATGACACTCTTCTGGTTTAGTTTATGACGTGAAAATGCTAGAAACTATATACAAATTAGCGCAGTTGCTTACATTGTCTGTTCCAAGAAATAACCAATGGGAGAAATTATTATCAAATCGGATAAGAGACATCCGTTTGTTGAATACTGAAAACAAATATTGTAAGATACGAGAGCTACTCAGCAAATACCTAAGAACTGAATATTTAGAAATACTTAGTAATCAGAAC